GAAAAAAGAAATAACAGTAATTACATCTGTATTATTCTTTCAAAATTGGAAAAAATCATTTTTGATCGCACAGTTTTTTTTTTTTTGTGCGGGCCTCTTTTTATCTCAGAGATAAAGTGTCTGGGAACGGCTGGGATTCATCAGTAAGGTCCTGAGTTAATTCGGAGGTGTAGAGTTTTATCATATAAAAAAATAATTTTAAAAATCGTAAATTTGATAGTAAGTTTCAAAAAGTGGAGTTTCAAGCAAACAGGATTAATCGAATATTAGAAATTTTTACGTATCATTCCCCGGTTTTTTTGTTTTACCAGACAACGTGTATTTTCATTGTGGCAATGAACGCGAATTCATACTGATTGTACAGGTGCTCAGAGTGATTTTTCCACTTTTGCGCCGTTTCGTGTTGGAAAAGTAGTGCTGTGGGAACTTGAATTGTTTTTCCTAGCATTTATTTTGTTTCATTTCCAATTTGGGAAGCATTTTTTAGATATGTGAGGAATTACTTTCGCGGTGTTTGGCGCCCGACTGCCAGATGGGTGGCCTTGGCTGCGACAATATGACCGCAGTGCTGGTGTGTCTACTACAGGATGATACTGCAGAAGCCTTTAGGGCACGCTGCTCCCGGAAACGTTGCGAATCTGCAGCCGGTGACACAATGGATTATTCTGCTCCGGTCTGTCTCCCGTATGATGAAATGGGGGTAACGAAATTTTTCGCTTGCTTTCTGAGTTTGTTCATACAAAAAAGCCTTTCATGTCTGTGAGCAACTGCTGCAGTGTGTTGAGAAAAGTCGACATCAGTGTTTTTTCAGAGGCGTCCTACTCATTTTCTTTACCGCACCGAGCACAAAATGTTAAAGCAACTTCGGCTATAGCATATACTATATATATATGTATATAGTATATAAAGGTAAAATTATAATATACATATATATATATATCGATGCAAATGTAAAAAGCGCATTAAAACATTAATAAAGATATTAATGACATGTGTATATACATTAAGAATACTAAGACATGTACGCAATTATATATGTATACATATATATGTGTATATATATGTATATATATGTGTATATATATGTATATATATGTGTGTATATATATG